AGCTCTGGGTTCTCTTGAAAACCCTCTGTCCAGGGAGACCCAGATTCTCCTGTGGTTTTTATCTGGTCTGGGGAACTAAGGAATTGTATCCAATGGCCAGGTGGATCCACGGGGCTATAGGCCCTTAGGTGCACAACCCTCTTCCCATACAGCCAGGGGCATAGGAGCACTGCCTCAAACTCAGTCAAAGTGTGTGTGTGTGGTGTGTGTGTGTGCATAAACGTGTATATATGTGTACATGCATATACGTATATATGCATGTATGTGTGTGTATGTATGTATGTATAGATGTGTGTGTATGTCCTATTTTTAATTTGTTTTCTTTTAGTGGTCTGTATGTGTGTACGTCTATACACGAGTGCTGGTACCCCAGGAAGCCAGAGGAAGGTGTCAGACCTCCTGGAGCGAAGTTACACGCAGCTGTAAGCTGCTGCTGTGTCTGCTGGGAATCAAACTTGGGTCTTCTGAGAGCTGTGTGTACTCCTAACTGCTGAGCCATCCCTGCAGACTGTTTTCAGACTGGTGGTTGTTTCCGCGACACTCCAGAGAACTCCAAACCTGCAGGTGCATGAGACCTTATTTAAAACGAACAGAAGTTGCACACAACTCCCGTCACTTTAAGTCGTCTTTAGGTGACCTTTAACACCTAAAAATGCAAGTGCTTTGCAAACAGCCATTGGATATGCATAATTCAGGCTGAAATGACAAGAAAAATACCTAGAGCCAAATGTAATCTTACTTATGTATCGGGGAAAAGCATTTATGGGCTTCACAACATACAAATTACACACACACACACACACACATATATACATGTGTACTGGACAAAGGTGGCTTTGTAACTTGGACAGAATGCGGTTCTGCAGCCTAGGTGAGCAGAGACTCACTGCAGGGCAAGAGCAGGGCCCAGTGGGCATGCAGCTTTAGTCTAGTTTTCATACACAGCATACTGTTCTTCTGCACTTATCTGCTCAACAGCCAGAGGGCTGTTTTAGATGTAAATAGGATTTGAGCAAACTGAAAAGCTCTTTCCAGCTTCCTCTGCCCGAGGCCCCATCCCCATTCTTGCCCAGTCTCCTTGCACACTTCACTTTTTTCTACAGTGACCAGGTCCTGCCATGCCTGCTGCCCCTGGAGTTCAGTACACAAGGCACCTGCTGAAAGGGCTTTGCTTTAGCAAGTCCTTCTCCTCCACCCTCCGTACCTCACTCCATTGCTCCTATCCCCCCCTGACCACACTACATTAAGTGCCCCTCCTAGGCTCCAAAGTATCACCGGGACCCTGGACCCTGGACCCACTCGAAACTGCCTTATCTTTTTGCTTCCTTGGCTACCAACTACCCTGCATGCCTGACTGTGAAGCTCATGAAAATGAGAAGTTGCTGTTTTGCTCACTCCCCAATCATCAAGCCCTAGGAAGTTCCTGACATCTATCCATAGCTACAGAATAAACACGCAACAGAGGAACCAGCCCTCCCTCAGCACAAGTCCAGCTTTGGGTGGAGACTGGATCGAGGGGGGCTTTGCTTCAGGCCTTGGGTTGTGAAGGGACCTCAGTACAAAGAGAATTAACCTAGGCTAAACCTAGATCCTGTGCCCACATGTACTTATAAATGCCCCACAGAGCAACAGTGCTGTAATTTTAAAGTGGCTCACCAGGTTTCTGTTCGCTCTTTGAATCAAGGTTGCATCTATGGATGAGTGCATTTTCAAAAGGTGCTTCAGCAGCTTCAAATGAAGCCTGCAGGCATGTGTGTGTGTGTGTCTCCAAGGGCATGTAGGCCTATTCACCATTACCAATTGATCGGTATGAAAGAGCTTTAAGAGGGCACATGCGTGTGTACACAGTGTCTCGGTACATGTCTGAAGAGACGCTAGGTGCGAGCTGCCAGGGGCTCACGAGCTCTGTGAACAGGAAGTGTGTGCTGTGGCCCCGTGGCCCGTCGTGGCCCACTGACCAGCTTCAGCCTCCGTGCCTGAGCACAATGGCAGTAGCATTTCTAGAAGAAAGCACCAGAACAAGTACCAAGATGGCACCGGAGCAAGAGAAGCTCACGGCACACACTGTGGGAGAGACCCAGCAGCAGCTGCCACACTGTCGCCTCCCGCAACAAGGTTGATCTGCAATAAAAGACACCGTAATCCAGAGGGAGTAACTGTTACTTCCTCTGAGAATGTCTGATGTTGTGAGCCGCATGGCTCCCCCTGCCTGCCACCATGCACACAGCACTCAGGAGGCAGTGGGCACACAGCCTCCCTCCTGCTGCCAAAGCACACCTGCAAAGCACTCTCTTCCTCCTTGGCCAAGCCACAGGATACGTTCCTGAAGGCAGAGCCAAAGTCAGCGGCCACCATGACACGGGGCTCAGAAAAGGACCCGAGTGCATACATTCGCCTGCAAACACTAGATTTCTGTTGCTTCTTTCAGTCACAACTTCTGCCTCCTGGGTTTCAGGTTGTAATGATCATGTTTCCAGAGTCTGTGTAAAGGATGCAGAATGCTCTGGCTTGGTTTCCTGTGTTTGTTACCATTATTTGGAACATTGTTTTATAGGCAGAGGCACTGGCAGAGGGTAGGTATCAGCTGTGTAAGCCCTTAGCTATCATTTCTGAGGCATCTCAAAAGGGTCCTCTGAAAACAGAGCAGTGTCTGTAATCAACAACAGTTCCATTGTCCCAATAATATTATTTATGTGTGTGCTTTGCTTAAAATAAAAATGTTTTATAAATTGTAGAACCTCAACAAAATTCAAAATTTTGGTATTTTGGCAACTTCAAAATTCTGGTATTTAGGGTAAAAAATATTCACTATATAAAGTATGGACAAAAAGTTTATAAATTTCATGAAAGCTGAAAAATATTAAAAATCAATAAATAGAAATTAGGTATACTGAATCTGGTATACACACTTAGAAGTATACTTTTTACTGAGAATGTCATAATTCATGTAATGTCATCAAATCCCCATTTCCTCCCCTCAGACTTCTCTCCTGTTCCCCCTACCACTTTTCTCTCCCCCACCTCCTCCCTATGGGCTCTTATTGCTGCCTGCATGTCTGCTAGTACAGGACCATCTACTTGAACATGGCTTGAGAGTCACGACTGGAGGGTCAGCGGGGAATGAACGGCAGCTCTAAACAGCACAACTGCACCACACCCTTACCCCACAGCTCAGGGATCTGTGGGAGATCCCGTGGGAGAGCGGGCAGAAAGGCTTCAAGACCCAGAGGTAGCACTGCCTGCAGCGAAACAGTACTTACAGGACAGTGCAGTTGCCCTGATGAAATCCAAACAGCTATGGCTGCACAAGACCTGTGCAAGACCAAGCCAGCCAAAACCCCAGCATGGAGGGAGGAGCTCATGAAATCCCCCCTTAGCTGAGCAGCTGTGGGCACCTGATGGCTCTGGAGAGGAGATGGCATTCCTCGGCGACGCAGACCCTAGTCTGTCTTAAGAATGCGGCCGCACGAGGCAGCAGCTACTGGCCATGGGACTCCTCTTTCAGATGCTATTAAGTCTCAATAGCCAGTGATTTGCAGATGATTAGAACTTTTACTGTGTGTATCATTGCAACTGACAGGCAAATCCCATCACTCAAATAGCATGACTGATGAAAAAAGGACACAGATGTGACACCAGCAGTCTGCCAGGCTTTCCTTATATCAATTATAGCACTCAAGAAGGCTCACCGCGACACAGACAAAGGCAGGCTGATACAAGGCTCCCCTCTTCCCCGTCACCAATCGCCTTGAAACACACATTCCCAGCCCAAGCCTTTGTGTTCTGAGGAGAGAGATGCCATTTGGATCTGGGTGGTGTTTACACTGCAGTTCACATAAGGGGGTGAGGGTGGGATGGTCTACTTCCCAAGTGTCTCACTGAACCCCCAATCTGTCAAGGACGAGCACTCACCGCGGCAACGGTCAGTGACAGCAGCCCATTACCCCAACGGCCATGACACCTTTTCAATTTTGCTCATCTCTTAGTCTCTAGTCAAATGGAACTTATTGCTTATAGCTTGTTGCAATTTCATGAATTATTTATGAAAGTGGTCTACGAAGCCAGACTCTTAAAAGGCAACACAACAGAACCCTCATCGTTACCCACAAGCTGGCTTCTATCAGAGCACAGACATTCCCCGTAACAGGAGCTGCATGTTTGGGGTGAAATAGTAGTTGTGAAAAAAAGACTGAGCTTTTAAGAATATCTGGGAGATATTTATGGAATGCCTGGGTGTATTTTTAAATCTTTACTGTAAACCAGCTTTGGGCTCCAGAAATTCAAGCAGACAAATTTCTCAGCTTGGATACAAACAACTAGAGCCTCCCACTATTACACAAGCTAGACAGAAAGGCAATGCCCCACCATGCGCCCCTAGACGGCTCCAGCCAGGCCATGAGCCTGGAGTTCCCTTGTTCAAAGGGCTACATGGCTACGCACAAGCAGGGACTGAAACCCAGCGGGAAAATGTGGGTTTCAGCTATGCATGATGAGGACTAGAACCCAGCCAGAGACACCAGTGAGCAAACGCTTGGGCTTCTGCTCACCCAAGCACCCGACCTGGGGTTGTTCAGCAGAGGACACCACTCACTATCACACACTCAGCTGTAGGAGCTGAGGGAAGTTGAGGTACAAAGCAGCAAGCCAGCCTGCTCTGCCACACCCCCAGGACCACGTGTTTGCTCAGCAAGGGAACTGCTGCTGGGGCTTAGGGAGCCCTCGGAGCACAGGAGCCACCTCCGATTCAGGAGTCTCAAAGGACAAACACCTCCAGAGATGCCTGTTCCTCCCAAGCCTATGGCATCCCTGTCCTCCTCCCCAGAAGTTCCCACATGCAGACATGGTTCAGAGGAAGAAGCAGAGGCACAGAGAGAGTAATGGCACTTCTGGCCATTAGTCAAAGGGTCGGGAATTTCCAAAGACTCATTCACAGAGAAGCCGGCTTTCCCCCACCAAACAGCATAGCCAATAGAAGAGCAACAGAATTCAGTGACACTTACCTTGCTGGAAGACATCTGAGGTCAGGAGCGGAAATGCAGGAGGGAAGGGGAGAGAAAGAGAGGAGAACGTTAGTGGTGGCAAACAAGGAGGTGTGACAAGCAGCTCACACATGCTGGCTTGGCTAACTGCTCTCTGCACAGCCCACCCTGCACCAAGCGCAGCTGTGGGTGAGACCACGTGGGTGTAAATGGCGGCCAGCGCTCACCAACTCTGCGGCAGAGCATAGGCAGTGTGACTGCACAGGTTGATCACGCCAGGCCCTAACTCTCACGGCCTCACCGTGCTTGGCACGTGACACGCAGGACAAGGGTGGCTATTGCCGCCACAGCACCACCACCACAACAGCTCCGGAAACAGGCTTGGCAGCGTTCTTATTTTATAGAGAAACGGTGTCTCCGGGAGGATCGAGGACCCAGTCAGGCACACAAGAGTGGCACAGCACAGGCTCAGGCTGAACCCAAGCCTGCACGGGTAAGGCCCGTGCATCAGGTAAGGCCCTCATTGCGTAAGCCTGAGAACCTGCCTTTGAGCCTCGGAATGCATGTAAAGCTGAGAGAAAAGAAATGACCCTGCAGCCAGCAAGCTCTGAAAAGCTGCCTCATTATTTAGGACAACAGTGCCTCACAAAAGCATCAATGGAAAGAGTCTGTGAATCCAGGGTCACACTGAAATCACACGAACAAAACACCTATACACTCCCCATACCGGGAGACCCGGTGGGTAAGAACACCATGCCTCCACTGTAAACCCTCCCACCAACGTCCGCCAGAAAGACGGAGGCGCATCCATGCTTCTTCTCCAGCAAACGCCTGAGAGACTGCGGTGTGCCAGGTTACCAGCAGCCACGACACCACCAACAAAAGACCCACAAACACACAGTCACCAGCGTCCTCCTGGCACGACTTCCAATGCCACGTGTATTTTGACCTTTGAGTCCAGCACGCACGGCCAGTAAATCCCCATTTTTCTTCTAACTGTGGCCTCTTTGCTCAACAGTGCAGACGAAAACCAGTCACAGCAGGGTGCTCATTTTCGTGGCTACACAGGATTCGCTGTGAATATGCTACCTTTTGGTTTTCCTTCTGGATGCTGCCTCATGTTCAACTCATCTCGGCGCTGAGCCATGAGGACGCAAGGTAACTGCTCTCTCCTCCATGCCCTTCACTGGCCACAGGCACACGCAGAAAGCGCCTTTTCTTCTCTCCTACGTACAAGGGAGCTCGCCTCCCACTCATCTCCGAGGCTTGGCATCTTCAGGGGTCAGGGGGCGGTGACACGCCATCACCTGGATGGAAGCGAGGCAGTTGGCAGCATACACAGGAATGCCCAATCTTCGTCCCTGACCAAACAATGTCACCTATGGGTTTTAATCCAACCAAACTCCTAGAGATATAAAAGCCATCTAGAGAGAGCGTCATCAGCGGATTACTTACCCTGAGAAAACCGGGACGCTGCCAGTGGTCAGCAGACAATCCACGGAACGCCCCTGTGCGTGGCTCGCTGTGCCGCGATCAAATGGCTACGGAGGACTGGTTAGGAGGACCAGGTAAGGCCCTCATCGCGTAATCCTGAGACCCTGCCTTTGGGTCTCAGAATGCATGGAAAGCTGAGAGGAAAGAAATGGCTCCTCAAATGTGTCCTCTGGCCTCCGTGGCATGCTGGTGCCCCCTGCCCCAACACACACACACGCGTTTTTAACTGGTTAAAGACTTTTGCTAACCGTAAAGGAAAAGGTCGGCAAGGCGCGATGTGGCCCGGAGGGCACTTGTGCGCTGTCTGCATGCCCACAGCTGCACTGACAGAGGCCGCAGCGACGGCCACAGCGTCGGCGGATGGGACTCGGGGTCTGGCTCTGACGTGAGATTTCATATATCCATTTAACCCTTAGCAATGATGTACACCTTATATTTATAATCTTCATTCAAAACAAAATTTATTTTCATTTAAAATCCAAGTAAGGAGCCAGGCACAGTGGCACACACCTGAAATCCAGTACTCTGGGAGGCAGAGGCAGGTGGATCTCTGTGAGTTTGAGGCCAGCCTGATCGTCAAAGTGAGTCCAGGACAGCCAAGGCTACATAGAGAGACCCTGTCTCAAAAAACAAAACACAAAACCAAAACAGAATAGATAAAAACCAAATAAAAACTGCATTGTCAGCATCAAGTTTATGTTACCATCACCAGCTCCTGTGGGGCCACAAAGAGCCAAGGGCCGAGAGCGACACAGACATTCTCCCGGTGCATTACAGATCAGGAGACTTGAGGCTGCAGACTTCATCCCCCACCACATACACTTTTATGAATTAAACCTTTTCCTGACAATTTCACACGCATACACAGTGCAATCAAATCGCTCTCACTCCCCCTCTCCTCTCTCTCATCAATCCCTCCTCTTCCCTCCATGTCCCCTTTGAGAGCAGCCATGCCCAGCAGTACACAGGCTCTCCCAAGCACACCAGGCCAGTCGCTCTGGCCTGGCTGAGAACCACAAGTTCCCACTTCCCAGACAGTGAGTGACTTCTCCTCGAAAGCCACATGGGGGGGAGAACAGGCCACACCCACTGCAGGATGGGGACTGTGGTTTCCTCAGCTCCTGGTGTCAGTGCCGTATTCACCAGTCATCCAGCCCCGGACTGAAGACACGTTTTCCTGTTACTATGTCCTAAGTAATGCATTACCGTAGCTCCCGATTCTGCACTTGCTGCACTGGGGTTTAGCAGCAATCTAGAGGTGACTTAACCTATGGAGAAGGTGTTTACACAGTTTATGAGCGCACGCTGTGCCGTTTGGGTAGGGACCCTCTGCAACCTGTGGGTCCCAGCAGCACACACTTCTCCCCCACGGTGGTACAGAGTCCTCTGGCCCAGCAGTCAGATGCCGCTGTCCAGGGACTGAGGAGAGGGCTTCAGGCAGCTCCTGAAATAGTCCACTTCACCTGCGCTTGCTTCCCGGACCCCACACTTTGAACACCTACTCTCCGGCCTGCCTGCAGTCCTGACAGGACCCTCCCACTCAGCCTTCAAATGTCACGGGCACTGTGAGGCGTGCTCCTGCAGACAGGGACCCAGCGTCTCCACCTTGCTCCCCCCTGTGCTGCAGTTATAGCTCAACTATAGCTGGTTATCTATGTAGACTGGGAGCTCCTGGAGAGAAGGGCAAGTGGACCTTAAATTCCTACCCAGGTCCAGACAGCTGGGCAGTGTCACACTGAGAGGGAGGGAAAGGGGCTCCCTGTCTGACCACGCCCTTACTGTACAGATAAGGAAACTGAGTCTAGGATAAACGAAAGCTTTCCTAAAGCCACACCCAGAGTTCAGAGCTGAGCCAGGACTGCATGAGACTCTTCTAACCTTAAAGTTCAAATGCTCATCGTGATTATTAGCAAAGAACAAATTAGACATTTGTCATTCCCCTTTAATGAATACAGACAAAAACCTTCACCCTTGACAACATCAGGAAAATGAGATTAGTCCCTAAATACAGATCCAGTCCCGACATCCGCCCAGAATCCTCAACCTCCTCTCCACGGTTCTGACAAGGAGCGCTTCTTTTGAAACTCACAACTGATTTAAATTGGAAAGCATCAGCAGGGCGTGGGGAAGGTAAGTCAGGCCTGACTTCCTGGCCTTCTTCCTGTCAATCCTACTGCGTGTTTCAGATCTGTGCAGACCAGTGTGTACAGAATGCTATTCCAGCTTTCCAGGCCCAAACTCTCCTGACATTCACGTAGCTATTTTTGGTGGCTCTTTCAAAAACTTTTTCAGGCATATTTTCATTTTCACTTTTTATTTAGTGTAAATTTGCATAAACACTACACATGCCCTGTCTTGTAACTTACACTCTAAATCTATGTCTTCAGGGGTCTATGGTTTAAATCATCCCATTCTTAGGAGCATTTCCTTTCCATTCTCTGTAATAATGCTCATTCATCTTTTAAAATTTTGGATGGAAACAGCCACCCAAGTTCAAGCTGGAGTAGTTTGTAGATGGGATCGCGAAAATAAACAAGAAGAGGAGAGTGACAGCTTCCATGTGGTTTAGCCACGTTACACCCCAACACACACGCACTCATGTGCACACACACGCACACACATACACACACTTTCCCAGAATAATGGATGTTACAATATATTAGCCCCCCAAGTTTACCAAACCATTCTGTGCTTCAGTGTTTGTGAGCAGGACCTCCATCTCCAGAGCCATCAGCTTTGCCACTTCTCAAGATCAAAGCACCCAGAATGGGAGTGTGAGGTCTTGGTTTCCATCTAACCAACCACAGAGAATTAGTCAGGAGATGGCCTGGCCCCTCTGACCTCCCATTCCTTGCTTCAGCCCGGGAGTACTATAATACACTCCACAGTACGGGGAAGGTGAAGTTCACTAGGACATTCAGGCCAAGAAAAGCTGCCCTGAGGGTAAGACACTGAGGTACTGGCCGCCCTCACAGGACTCACACATCCTGGGCAGGGAGTTGCCGCTGACCACCAGCCCAGCCACAATTAGGCCGAGCCGGAGGACACCAGGGACACTGGTGCCGAGGAAAGAGCTCCTTCAGACAAAGCTTCCAGACTCGCTTCCCAAGGGAGGAAACCTCAACCCCCATCACTCACGTGAACAAAGAAAGCCTGTTCCCCAGCCCCTGGCCCCAGCCCCTGGAGCCCTTCTGGTCCTGGAGACAGATGAAAGGCCATGTGTGAGCTGGCCATTCGGACGTGGGAAGAAAACAAGAAGGAATGGCCCCAGATCTGCCTTTCTTAACCTGATGAAGACCAAGGATGTGTGCCCCTCCCCCACTGCTGTGGAGGGATTCAAACGGAGCTCTTTAATGCATGCAGTCCCCAGAGACTGGGGCCATAAAAAGACGCGATTATTTATTATTATTAATAAGTTATGGCAATTAGGCTGGGTGAGTCCTAAACGTGTCTGATGAGAGATTTTCTTGAGTACTGCTCAACTACACGGCTGGTGTTTACCTCTTTTAAAAATGATTTAACTGCACTCTGGGTGAGCCCCT